CGCTCTAATTATCAAAATGTTGCGCTCGAATAAAGAATCAGTCACTGAGCACGCACTAATCTGTTCTCTCTGCTGAACGCATATATTTTTTCCAGTGACAAGTGGGGTTATTGTGTTCTCGATGTATATATCTCGGATTAACGTTTGCGGAGGAGAATTACTCGAGGAGAATTACATCGTCATATATCCTATTAATGTTTGCGGAGGATCTTTTACTCGAGGAGAATTACGCCGTCACATATCCTATTCTTATGATTTTTCTACTTATTGCCATAACAGAAATGTTATAAAATAAAGCATGAAAACATGAAATGTTAGCAATGTCTTACATATTATAAGAGTAATATAATATTAATGTTAAATGTCTATTATGTGTGTTATTTATAAATTAGATTTTATACTAAAATTTTACATTAAGGTGAAATTAGTTTCTGTTATTATTATCGTAGTTTATAATTGGAGGTGGAAAATAATTAGTTATTGTGGATAATAAAAGGAATGCGGAGATGGAAATACTCTTATTAGGAAGGTAAAGTAGGTTTTAACTGTCCGAAAGGCGAAATAACTGATTATTTTTAGTTTTTATTTGTTCAGTATATTAATACATGAATATATTAATTAATAATATATAGTAAAATTTATGGGCCGGTCATTTCCTCCGCGTCCTCCGCGTCCACCGCGTCCACCGCGTCCACCTCGTCCACCGCGACCGCGGAATTTGCGGCTTTTCTGCCAGCGTCTTGCTAGAAAACAAATAATTATTATATATAATATAATTCATTAAGCAATAAAAAACTTACGGCGCATGAGCGTCCAAAACGACCGCGACTATACAATGGACGCGGAAAAAAATGGATTATTACAATTCTACTTAGTACTTACGTCTTTCCAATTGGGACTGCGTTTCTACGGATCCCGGCTGCGGCTGCGGCTGCGATGACGCCGGCCCGGCCGGCCTGAACTGTGGCTGCGACTGCGGCTGTGGTTGCGCCGACGATGTCTGTGGCAATGACACCGGTCCTGGTTGCGACCCTGCAGGCCGAGCTGCAAATTCTGCATCGGCGAGTCGCCGCTGCAGCTTTGCCACTTCGGCCTGCAGAGCCGCTATTTCTTCTTTTTCATGTGTAATGCTGATAAAAATAATTTCAATATATTAATTACAAATTTATATTAGTATTATATTAGTATATTATGATTTATTATAATTTACTTACCAATCTTTTTCGACCTCCATCATTATACCCGTCTTGGTAAGATTGATATTAATGGCTCCCTACCTGGTAAGATTGATATTAATGGCAATAATGGCGCCTGAAAAGGTTAAGAGTTAAGACCATGATGTAAGGAAACATTGTGAATTGATGCGTACAATGGTGGCAGTGTGGGGGACAACCAATCACATTGACCCATTTTTATATTCGAAATTCAAACGTGCACCATAGATAATAAATAAATAATAAACGCAGTATGCCAGGTACTGATTATATAGAAAAGATAAAACTTCTTTTACCGTCTGGTTTGGAGTATTTCATTGAAAGAGTCAGTGTTAAATTTCAAGTGATGGATAGAGCATATGTTATTAGAAAATAATTTCCATTATCCTTGAGTTATGGCATCACTATTCATAAAAGTCAAGGATTGAGTTTGCAAAATGCTATTATGGATATAGGCAACTCTATATTTAGTTGTGGTCAAGTATATTGTTACGCCCGTGTCTTTGCCCGCGTCGTTCGATGTACCAGCGAGCCGGTCCAGCTGTCAGATGTTTCCCTGACGACGCGTTGTCGTCTGTCAAACGGACGACATATCAGACTTGGAGACGAGCCGTCGACCCGTTCGGACGTGCTGAGCTCTGTTCTTTCTATTCGCTGCGTTGTTTGTTCACAGTTATTATAATAAAGCGTGTTCCTTGTGTTTCTAATTGGTGTTCCTTCTTATTTCTCCGCGACCTTCCGGTGCGCGTGCGCGAACGCGGGTGCGGAAGTGCGAACGTTACGCGGGCGAGTGCGTGATCGCGAGATACACCGCCCCGGGCGTAACATTTTGGGGGCTCGTCCGGGATCGAACGGACGAGCGGATCGTAAAAGAACGATCAGTGAACAGTGTTGTGAAGTGATGGCGACGACGAGAAAGAGGGCATGCGAGCGAACGGCGGGAGGCGAAGAGACACCGACTCTGGCGGAGGTCCTCCGCTCTACGCTGGAGGAATTGCGTGAGATACGGGAGGAGCGCGCGCTGCGACAGCAACAACAGGCCGCGTTCGAAGCGACTCTTCGCGCCGAACAGCAGCGACAGCGTACCGCCTTGGAGGCAATGATCACGCAGCGCGACGAGGAATTACGACTTTTGCGTGAACGACTACGAGAAACTACTCCAATAAACCAGCTAAGTCCTCTCAATAATACCGAAAATAATGCGCGAGATCGTAACTATAATTCGAATG